TGATGTTTGCTGCTTTAAAAAGAATTATAGCTTTTTGTTATGCTTGTAAGCCCAAAAATATACTAGATAAATATGTGAACAGATCTCATGTGAGTTGGTAACAGTCAGAACGGCTATGCAAGTGATAAACAAAGCAGCGTGGCCTAGTGGTTGGAGGTTTGGACTCGGGAGAGCTGCGCTCTGTTCCTGCCTCCACCCCGACGTGCTTGGTGACTCAGAATCTCGCTGTGCCTCTCGTTCCACTCTTGGTCTGTCTTGTCTTTGGGCAAGGGGTGTCTCTTCCGACAGATCGGAACGCATTGATTCGCTGGTGAAAGTGCTGGCCCGAATGCAGAGCAACAGAAAATCAGACTCATTGTTTTCTATGCTAAGGGTGTTTTGTTCTTTTTAGTACTTTTCCAGGATCAGGGTGAGAGAGACAATGTCAGAAGGTGACACGGGCCCATTAAGAGGGAAGAGGCCCGTGCACCTGGGTCTGCTCTGTTGATCCCCCCGCATCCCTGTTAGGCATAGGAGAGGCCATCTGGGCCCTAGAAGAAAGGAGACCTGGAAACTCGTAGAGGAGTCAGACACAGGAATGAGGCTGAGACACAGGGAGCAGAAAGGAAGAGCTGGCAGGAGCTGTGTGGGAGTCCGAGGCGAGGGAGCTGAGGTTGGATGGGAGCTGTAACAAGAGTGTTGGTGAGAACTGACCAAAGTTGGGGACTCCCTGGGCAGTCGTCATTAGGAAAAGGGCAGATCCAGCGTGGTCAGAGGAAGCCGAGCCCGGAAGCAAGAGGTTTGTTGCAGGAGGGTCGATCCCCCTGAGCAGGGGCAGGACTCGCAGGCGTGGAGGTCTGGGGAGCAGAACCTGTGGGGAGCCCTCTGGGCGAAAACCTGAGTGAAGAGCGGCGTGGAGACTGGTCACTCTCAGGCAGGGAGGCCTGGAGAATGAGGCCCTGGATCAGGGGCAGAAGGAAGGGGCGACACCGTGCTGCTTCTGACTGTTGGGTGGGTGACCCGGAAGAGTTGCCCATGAAGTGGGGAAGGGGGAAGCTGCTCTATCTTTTTATGTTTACAGTGGGTTTGTTAAGAATGGTTTTACTGCAAGGATTGCGAGGGAACTATTGCACTGGTGTGCATGCATAAATTATGCCCAGAGGTGGGGCTTTGTGTTGGACACTGACGGACTGTTCCTTTCATGGGCAAACAGAAGGGGAAACTGAGGCAGGCACACCTGTCACACTGCAGCCTGCTGCCGGAGGGTGCCCCAGGCAAGGGTCACTCTGCCACCGATGCCTAGACAGATACGTGATCAACAGCTGTTGTTGAGGCTGGTGCACTGGGATTCGCTGGCAAGGCAACAGTTTAGAGCACTCAGCTGCAGCACTGTGGCCCATTCTTTGCTCCTGAGAGCAAACCAGCTGCACTCACTTTGCAGAAACGCCGAGGCTTGGCTGTCCTCTTGAGCGCTGCCGAGCAGCTTTTAAATTCTACTTTGGCTCATTCACCAACCTAACCTTATGTTACCCACCTTTCCCTCTGCGTCTCGCCGACTGCCCAGCCACTGGCCCTCCCTCGGCAATGGTTACAAACATTTCCTACATGCCAAACACATCCCAAATCACACAGGAGGGGCACCCTGCATGCACACGATGCTAAATCAGCCTAATCAGAAACCTCTGCAATCACATGCCTTCGAACTATTCAAGTGGGACCGGGAGGTATTTTTAACAAGTGTGTGTGAGACACTTTGTATAACTGTCAGCCTTGCATGAGGGAACTGAAGTCTGATATTCCTGTTTTCCCTTCTCACTAACAGTTCTCTGGCACCGGCATTCTGGAAATGTAACCATCACTGATCCCTTGGGGAACAGAAGAGAGCGAGGGGCTGGGTACTGCGTGAGAGAATGTGGAAAAGATGGATAGTTGGATACCTCTTGTTGCACAAATTTAATAGCATCTCTGAGTCCAGAAGCCAAAAATCCCAACCCTGCTGGGTGTTCTGCCACACAATAATGCTTTCGCTTAACAAAAAAATCTGGGACTCCACTGGCCAGGCTCTGAGATCCCAGTTCATTAAATGACTTGGAATGGTGTGCTTTAAAAATAGCAGCGTCTGTTGTTCAGGTCTCGCTCGTTGGGACGAGAGTTCTACGTAGGAGCAATGTCTGACTATACGGGATGTAGGCGGTAAATAAAGTTGTTTATTATGCTCAGTAAGAGGCTTCCTGAGCCTGGCACGTAACACTCCTCAAACCCAACACCGGGGCACCCAGGAAAATGAATCCAAATGAATTTAAAGTGTGAATATTGAAATAATGAGTTAACCTCCCTGTGTGGACGCTGTTCTTCAGAATTGTGGCACTAATTCAATTTATTTTAATTCACTTCAGAATTATACCATGTTAGAGAAACTCCTCTGGGAAGCTGACGTCGGCAGAGAACCCAGATGGCTGTATTTCACAGCTCAGGTATAGGGACAGTTTTCCACTCTGTCCTACAATGAGTAGGGCCAAACTTTTTGGCTGTATCAAGCCTGCTGGATATTTTGGCACTACAGTTGACACATTTTTTTTCCCATTGTAGAGAACTGGACCTGCGCTATTTTAAGCGTTGCACACAGGTCATCTGCCCATCTGAGACTGTGATCTCATCAGATCTCACGCACTAAGCACGGTCAGGCATGATCAGTGCTACTTGTATGGAGGGAAACCGAAGGAGCTGCAGGAAGCAGTGGTGGTGATTAAGTACAGACTCCATTTGGACCCATCCCTCAATGTGAGGTTGGGGAGCACTTTGGCATTAGAGCTGCCTTTTGAATGAGTGAAACTAAGGTCCTCCGGGCCACATGAAATCATCAGTGATCCTGGTCCATGCACTCTTTTACAAGGGGTGAGATGTAAACTTGTGGGTTTTTTAGTACTATAATTTAAGTAAATTAGATTGTGAATTTGAACGCCCCCTACAGTTTCAGCAGAGTAGTGTTCTTCATTTCCCAGTTTTGAGCACTGTTGCTCTGCGCTGTTAAACAACTTTTGAATCCCACCCCTGAGCTGGCTGCATTTCTGAGGCTGCTTAAGTGATTTGTGTGTATTTGTGATCGATCATCTAATCTAGATAGATAATTTCAGATCCAAAGATGCTCTCACAGTGAGGGCTTTCCCCTGCATTGCTTTCTGGTTTTCATTCTATTTTATTTTATTTTTAGGGACTTGACCAATCCCCCCCTCCCAGTCTATCAGTTCCAATCTGGGTGATGTTTCACCAGCACGTGCAAGTCCTAGCACTATATTATGTGCCCTATTTCATACTGGTAAAAAACACCTTCAATTACCAACCTAGTGTGAATTGTCTTTCCTTCTTACTGTGGCCTTCTGCTCTTAATTGATTTTCTACCTTAGCCTGAAAGTAAACAATGATTATTGATAGATTCTGCATTCAGCAAGGGCAATTGTGATTGTCTAGTCCGACCTCCAGCATAACACAGACCATTTGACTTCCCCAAATAATTGCTGTTTGAATTAGAGCAGATTTTGTAGAGGGTGGTTTTCAGCCTGTCGTCCGCCGAACCCAGGGGGCTTTGCAGACTATGTCTACGATTTCCAAAGGGGTCCGCACACACCTTCATTTGAAATTTTGTAGGGGCCCGCAAATGAAAAAAGGTTGAGAACCACTGCTGTAGGACAACAGCCAATCTTGGTTTTAAAATGTCCAGTGATGGGCGAGTCCCCCATGTCCCTGGATAATTACCCTCGCTACCCTCAGACAGCGGTGTGGGAGTAAAAGGGCGGCACGCTCATGGAATGAGGGCAGTTTTCTTGGGGTGAGAACCTTGACTAGAAGTGGAATGCTGGTAGACAGGAGTCGCCGGGACCATTCTCATTCAGACCCAGGTTCTATCAGCACAAAGCCCTCCTGCATTTAGCCTGCTGCTGCCTTTGCAGAGGCTGTGCGTGAGCCCAGCGAGGGTGTGAGAGGCTCTGGCTGCCTGAGTGGCTTTAACAGCTGTACCTACTCCTTGGGGCTCTGGCTGGGGTTGCTGGAGTGCTTCTGAAGCCAGCAGGCTCTGGGCAGAATTGTACAGCTCCCTGCCGGGCGGAGAAGAAACATGCTTCAAGCCATTCCCACGGCGTATTTCAGTGAAATCCCTCCGGCAGCTACAGCGAAGTTGGCAGGAGCTGGGTGCAGAGCGAAGGGCCTGCAATGCTGCTATGTGTGCCTGGGAGCCAAGGGAGTTGCAGCCAGACAGGGAGTATCTCGGGCTGTGGAGCAGATAAGGACAGCACTAGTTGGAAATGCCGCTTCTGATGCCCTTTGGGACTTGGGCATTTCCTGGGCTCTGTGCTGCGTGGCAGCACCATGATGTATCACCACCATGGTGCAGAAACCAGTTGCCACAACGGTTCTTCTGCTGTGTCTTATTAGCAACAGGGCTGCTCGGACTCCTTCTGAGCCAGGGCAGGGGTGGTGCAAAGGCCTCCAAGCTGCTGGGCCAGCGGGCAGCACCTGCCAAGTGCCGGCAGCGGGATGTGCAGCCTGGGCGTGGATGGCTGGAGCGGCTCCCGCCTGCTGACTTTACCCGTTGGGACGTGTTTCACCAAAGAACATTCTTAAACCGCTGATGGAAACTTTCTTCCCTTTGCATCAGACCTTCTTCAGTCCCCAAATATCTGGGTATGTTCAGCTGTGCGCACACACGGGCAGGTCGGTGCAGATGAAGAGCATGTGTGAGTTGCAAGGTGGACTTGGGGGGGTGGCAGGTGGGGGACGATGTCCCCCTCCATCATCTTGCCCCCTTTATAGAATTCCCCAAAGCTCTCCTGCCTGCCAGCCCGTTTGGCCGTGGGCCTCGGAGCGGCCAGTCCCCTCACCCAGACCTGGAGCTGGGCTTTATTTTTAGCAATGACATGTGCCAACTCAGCTGCTGCTATCGCAGGGGGCGGGGGAAGGGGAGGGGCGGCCGGGGGGGGGGCTCCTTTCCACTGGTCTCTTGCTCTCTTTGCTTTTTCTGCTTGGTAGGATCTTTTAGCTGCTAATAGAGCCAGGCGTCTGTCTAGGACTTTAACTCCCTGAATCCCGCAGAGCCGCTTGTACAAAAGGTAGAGTCTCTGCTCGGCTTGTTTGGGCGGTTGGTTTGGTTTGTGTCCTGAAGGAGACGTGTGTTGCTTTGGGATCCAAAATGGGCTTTTTTGAGTGTGCTTGTTGCTGGGCTCTTGACTTTCAAAAGCGAGTGGGGGGCTATTTTTAGCTAGCTATGAAGGGCTACAGTAACAGGTTTGCCTTTGGGGGACTGCATCCATTGGCTGTTTTTTCTCTCCCAGCAAACAGAACTTGTGTGTGTATGTGGGGGGGTGCGTGGGGGAGGTGGAGTGTGTGTGGGGGGGTGCGTGGGGGAGGTGGGGTGTGGGGGTGCATGGGGTGGTGGTGTTTGTGTGGGGGGGTGCATGGGGAGGTGGAGTGTGTGGAGGGGGTGCGGGGGGGAGGTGGTGTTTGTGGGGGGTGCGTGAGGGAGGTGGAGTGTGTGTGGGGGAGGTGGGGTGTGGGGGGTGCATGGGGGTGGTGGTGTTTGTGGGCAGGGTGCGTGGGTGTGTGTAAGGACAGCACAGTGTATGTCACTCTCTTGGTTTTTAGACTGCATGATTCATTCACCAGGACTGTTATTTTGTTATTTGTCACCACGATCTGCCCTGCTCTCCTCCCCTCCCAGAACCACCAATTGCAGTAACGCTGCGGGGGACTGAACCCCTGGAAAGCAGAAACGCAGCTTTCTGGCCAGAATCTCATTTTGCGAACTCTTGCTCATCTCCGCGTTCCTTCTAGCCCAGTAGCCTGTCTCTGGCCGTGGCAGCACCAGCTACTTCAGA